GTCTGAAGTTAGTTAAAAACTATTTCAATGCTTTGAAACTTGTCAAAAATGACTCAAAAACTGCCTAAAAGGATGCAAATCTGCCCAAACTGACTTGAAACTTGTTTAGAATTAGTTAAAAATTGCATTAATCCACTCTGAAAGCGTTATATGAAGTTGTTTTTGATCTGTTTTAGTCCATTAGAACCTTGTTGGTAAAGAGTTCGTCACATAGAAACAGTTTGTTGGGAATCAAAAGGTGTGAAATGTGGTGAACTGAGGTGTCATTGACTTGTGTTCATGCAGAAAGATGATTTCATTTTCAGCGCAGAAACTCGTATTTTCACGTATTTCTAACATGTTAACAGACGTGCAGCAAACAAAGTGCAGCTGAAGAATGAAACTCACGAGCCATGTACGATGCAACAAATTCACCGACAATAAACGTACAGGAACAGAGTTTACTTTTACATCGACTTCACTGCATTTCACAGAGACGTGCTGTAATTTGTTCTCGACTACTTTCAACTAAAGCAAGTGACTTATTTTTTCAAATTGAGTTTTTAGATGCAAAACAATTTAAATTCAATTCAATGTTATCTGTATAGCGCATATTTACAACAACAAGTCGTCTCAAAGCGCTGAACAAAGGCAGAAACAACCAACAATCCAAAACATGTGGATTCCTTATAAGCTTCAGCAGCCTGCAAGCAGTCCGCAACAGTGGGAAGGAACCGAAAACCTCCGACAGAACCAGGCTCCGGGGGGGACGGCCATCTGCCTCGACCGGTTGGGTGGGTGTGGGATGAATTATACAATTTAGTGTACAGTTAAACAAGTTATTGGAGGTTATTGTCCTTTTGTTCTCTATTTCAAATGGACCAATGAAATATTCCATTTCGTAGTTGGTGGGGGTAACAGGAGGCATCATGGTGGGGCAGTGGGATGCAGAAGGTGAGGCTGTAGTTCAGGAGAGTCCAGATCCAGAGACATCCACAGAGAGAACAGGAGCAGGAGAACCTCGGGGAGACACAGTACTGTTGGATGTTGTTTTGCAATAAAGCACCTAAAACTACATGATAATAGCAGGTACAGTAGGTGGTAGGTGTATGGATGTTGACTAGCTTAATTTTTCTTTGGGAACTCAGTTATTGCAAAGAGTTCAATGAAAAAGGTTGATAATACTCACATCTCACGAAGCTACGGTGGGCAATGGGTTAGCTTAGCTTAGCATATGTTTAATTCAGTTTTATTTACATCTTTGTCTTTGTCTTTTACCGGCATTGGAGCCACGATTCTGCACTTACAAGNCCAAATGGATGCAAACTCATCCAAAACTGACCCGAAACCTGTCCCAAATTAGCCAAAAATGGTCTGAAATGCCCCGAAATGCATCAAAATGGACTCAAAAATTGCACGAAAGGACACAAAATTACCCAGAATTACTTGAAACCTGTCTGAAGTTAATTAAAAACTATTTCAGTGCTTTGAAACTTGACTCAAAAACTGTCTAACAGGACTCAAACCTGTCCAAACTGACGTGAAACTTGTTTAAAATTAGTTAAAAATTGCATTAATCCACTCTGAAAGCGCTATATAATATTGTTTTTGATCTGTTTTAGTTCATCAGAACCTTGTTGGTAAAGAGTTCATCACATAGAAGCAGTTTGTTGGGAATCAAAAGGTGTGAAATTTGGTGAACTGAGGTGTCATTAACATGTGGTCATACAGAAAGATGATTTCATTTTCAGCACAGAAACTCATATTTTCACGTATTTCTAACACGTTAACAGACGTGCAGTAAACAAAGTGCAGCTGAAGAATGAGCCACGTATGATGCAACTAATTCACTGACAATAAACGTACAGGACCAGGGTTTACTTTTACATCGACTTTACTGCATTTCACAGAGACGTGCTTTAATTTGTTCTCCACTACTTTCAACTAAAGCAAGTGACTTATTTTTCAAATTGAGTTTTTAGATGCAAAACAATTTAAATTCACTTCAATTCAATGTTATTTGTACAGCGCATATTTACAACAAGTCATCTCATAGCGCTAAACAAAGGCAGAAACACCAACAATCCCAAACATGTGGATTCCCTACAAGCTTCAGCAGTCTGCAAAAAAAAAAAGAACCTCCAACAGAACCAGGCTCAGGGAGGGACGGCCATCTGCCTGGACCGGTTGGGTGGGTGTGGGATGAATTATACAATTTAATGTACAGATAAACAAGTTATAAGAGGTTATTGTCCTTTTGTTCTCTATTTCAAATGGACCAATGAAATATTCCATTTCGTGGTTGGTGGGGGTAACAGGAGGCATCGTGGTGGGGGTAGTGGGATGCAGAAGGTGAGGCTGTAGTTCAGGAGCTCCAGATCCAGAGACATCCACAGGAGAACCTCAGGGAGACACAGTACTCTTGGATATTGTTGTGCAATAAAGAACCTAAAACTATATGATAATAGCAAGTACAGTAGGTGGTAGGTGTATGAATGTTGACTAGCTTAATTTTTCTTTGGGAACTCAGTTATTGCAAAGAGTTCAATGAAAAGATTGATAACACTCACATCTCACGAAGCTACGGTGGGCAATGGGTTAGCTTAGCTTAGCATATGTTTAATTCAGTTTTATTTACATCTTTGTCTTTGTCTTTTACCGGCATTGGAGCCACGATTCTGCACTTACAAGGACCAACTAAAGATTGGAGGTTGGAGAGGATGGAGGTGGTGTCAGTCAGCAGATTATAACCAAGTAGACTTTAGTTGAAGTCTTATCGTATGTTTTGACTTTAGTTAGACTTTTACGTTCCGTCTCTGTTTTTCTTTTCGTGTTTGTGACGGGTTATGTTTAGGCTTCAAACCTACTTGTGCAGAAAAGGATAATTATTTAGGTATCTGGGTTTTGTTTCCCACATGTTTCCAGGGCGACAATTCCACATACACCCATTCACACGACCGCGAGAGGTCACCTACATCACCGGGTCTGTGTTCATCAACGCTCAGAATGGATGATAATGCACCTTCTGGCCCACCAGAAGGTCGAGGAGATCCCTCCTGGTCCATATGCGTGGGAATGATTTGCGATGATAACGACCATCTAATGGGCTGATAACGTCCGAACTGGGTGCTCGGGGAGGGCCGCCATCTGCCCGGACTGGTCGGGGTGAGGACGACGGGGAGAGAGAGAGGGAGAGATGGCGAATAACAAACAAGAGAACAATAAATGATGGGACCATTAAGCACAGCTCAGGAACATGCAGCTCTGGAGCCAGAAATACCTGCAGAAAGAACAAAACACAAACTACAGGAGAGGGAAGTTAATGACATGCAGTGGTGGAGAGTAGAAGAGGGGATTGTAGAGGAGATGATGCTCAGGGCTTCATGGGGGGTCGGTGGGCCTATAGCGGCATAACTGAGGGAGGGTTCAGGGTCACTGGAGCCAGTTCTGACTGTAAGCATGAAGGAAAGTTTATGGTCTAAAGTTCATGAAGCCCAGCTTGACTCACTTTTCCCTGTAGCTGTCCAATGTCCACATTGCATACACTGGCTGGGTGTACTCCAACGAAAAAATCCAGCTGTCACCAAGTAGCGGTTGAAAAAAGAGATTCTTTAGTTCACAAAAATAAAATTTACAGACGGAAACATAAAGCAAAACGAGGATACAAAGCGTGTGCAGTCAAAAAACTGTTTGGCTCCATGCCATCATTCATTTCCCAAGAGCCCTTGCAAATTTAAGGGACCCTAATATAGTGAACCAAAATATCAAAAACAAATCAATAAACCAAAACAGCACACTAACACAGAAGTCAAATATCCAAAAAATACGATTAACAACATTTAACCAAATAACAGATAAATTCAGCAAAATAAAAATGTTAATCATAATCTATATCAAAGTTACTGTAGGACAAAAAATCAAAACCAAATAGAAGTAATCGTGGTAAAATAAGAACCAAATCCAGAACCAAAGAAATAGATTTAGGCTCCTGCAGAAAGTCTTAGAGAAGAGAGGATGTCTGCCTCCTGAACCCAGACTGGAGGCTGGTTGTAAAACAGCTGAAGGCTCCTCCCCCTATAAAAGGCAGAAACTTTACTTATTAACACAATATAGCTGGTTGAATTTGTACAACAACCACTGATTATTAGTGACAGCTTATGTTTTGGACGACTTCTTGGCCCAGAGCAGTGATCTCCTGATGTGCTGAGGCCGACTTGATGTTTCCAAGCAACCAGCAGATACTTCAGAGAAGATAAATAAAGTGGTTATTAGTGATTCTTAGATATATAGTTAGATTTTTTTCCCAATATGTGGCTGTTTTTTCACCTTAGAAAGCCAGAACAGCTCATTCACCCTGTCTTCAGTGTTTAGGTTGAGTTAACTGACTTTACAGACGTAAGAGTTTAAGCCAGATGTCAGCTTATTACCAACAAAGATGCAGACCTGGCTTTAGACGTGTTGCTTCAGATCAGATCTCTTTGTTTATGAAAGGTGGATGTGTTTCAGAGCCGACCCCCTCCAGCAGCTGTGCGATCCTAAAAGCAGGACAAAGTCAAACGTATGCATAATTCTCATGTTGGAGTTTAATGAAACCCAGGAACGTTTGTCGCCACCGTTAATCTGGCATGTACTGGGCTGATCTAAGGCGTTTGTCTCCAACCTGATGAAGTATGTGTGCTACGGTATTGATTCATTAAAAGATTTACAGGAACCTGGAGATGATGAGGTCATTCGTCACCGTGCGTTCCCCCCAAAGCAAAGAGCTTTTTAGATTAAAACCATCGGGTTTATGTGAAGCGATCTGAAATAAAACTGTTGTTAGGACGCATAGTGCAGAGTTTAACTACGCTTAGAGCAACGTGTGTAGTTTGTAACCCCATAAATATCTGTCTGTAGGTAACAGGGAGCTGTGAGGTCCTGCCTTGATGTTCGTGTTGCACTTTTCTAGTAGTTTAAATTAAAGTGTAGTCAAAAGAACAGTGAATGTTTTTGGCAACAACCACCGATATTTTCCTGCAAAATGTACAATAAATGATTTAGCACCTTGCAACAACACAGATCCTGCCTCCTCCTCCTCCTCCTCCTCCTCTCCTCTCTCTCGGTGTACAGGCATGCGTTGCAATTATCCACCTTTAAAATGCCCTTTTGCTAATGTTTAGAGGACAGAGAAAGTGCGAAAGAAAAGCAGAGCAGCTCACTGTGACAATTCTCAGAGGGATGCTGGAGCTGCCTGCTGAGATAGGGGGTTGCAGAAAAATCTGCCGTGTTTGCGACTTTCTGCCATGTTTAATTGGAATCGAACTTGTCCCTGGAAAGGAATCCATCGCTTTGGGGAAATTAAGTGCTCCATCTGAACAAATGGAGAAATGACTACCCTGCGCGTTGTCAAAGTGCAGACTTTGGAACTTTTAAGTTGTGCCAACGTTTCCCTCTTCTTTCCCTTTTTTTTTTTCCTCCACTGATGTGTGTTTTCACTTTTGCCCCGCTCCTTTCCAAAACTATCACTCCATCCTTTCTCCTTACAGGTTCATATCCGAGGCTTTCGCTGAGTTTCAGGATTAAGAGGAACATTGGATATTTCATCTTGCAGACATACATGCCCTCCATCTTGATCACCATCCTCTCCTGGGTCTCCTTCTGGATCAATTATGATGCCTCTGCAGCTCGGGTGGCCCTGGGTAAGACACAGCCGCCGCCACCGCTGCATTATTAAACTTCTAACTGTCCCGATTAGAATCCATTTATTATCGCAGGACACGCGGCTGTCACACATGCTAAATGTTGTCGCATAAATTGTCTGCATTTACAGGCGACACATTACCAACAAAATACATCCTGCAAACAGCATCGGTCAAAATGCTCCCGTGGAATTCCTTTTGCTCGTATTTGATGGTTCCACAAATGATGACTACAGTGTAAACCCCCAAAGTAGGAACACTGGTGTGCATGTAGAAAGTAATGACGAGGAAATTAATGTGAGAGCTCAACTCATAGAGTGTTAAATGTATCCCGGTTAATTAGCAACGCGCTGAGCGTCACACTATCCCAAAACACGCCGTTACTCCACCACTACTGATGACTTTTATCTCATTTACCAGCCAGTTTATGTCTGAATTATCGTGTGTCCACATGATGATAATAATAATAACTCTCAGATGCACTCGTATTTCTCGCCCTGTGCAAAACATATGAGGACTATTTAAATGCTGTGGACGCCATGAAGCAGCAGCGTTAACTTACACTCCAAAAACACAGAATCTAGAGGCTCTGTAAATAACAGATAATGTGACATGAGGGATACTGGTGACAAAGTTGTCCTGGTCCTGACCTGTGATGACACGTTTGTCTTCTGATGGGCGTGGCCTCCGCCAGGATGACTCTCATCCAGAGGGCTCACTGAAGGGTTTGATGAAAAAGATGTGAATCATTCGATACAGCCTTCAGTCACCAAGTCTCATCTCAGCTGAACCCCTGTGGGAGAGGGAGTATTAATTAGACGGCACTCTCCACCTCCATCATTGGACACCAAATGAGGGAATCTCTCTGTTTGAGTTCAGAGATTTGGAAAATCAATGCTAAAGTGCACTGGAGCTGTTCTGGTAGCACGACACCTCACTGAGACACTTTATATTGCTGTTTCCTCTAAGTTGTCATCTATCTGTATGTTCTCTGATGACAGGCTGAAGCAGCACAACCAGAACAAGACAGAATAGCTGTTAACTTTCTCTGTGTGTTGGGCGTTAGTGCAACTGTATGGAAGAGGATTAGGTCCACTGAAGAAAAAAATAATAAAAATCGGAGAAAAAATTCAGAATTCTGACTTTTTCCCAGAACATTAAAAAAATTAATACTAAAATTCTGGGAGATTTTTTTTTCAATTTCTGGGGGAAAAAAAGTCAGAATTCCGACTTTTTTCTCCGATTTTTATTATTTTTTTCTTCAGTGGACCTAATCCTCTTCCGTACAACTGACTCGATGAGCCAAACAACAGATATAAATATCAGAAGTGCCACATATACGCAACAGCGGCAGAACCAAGCATATTTACCCAACATCTGTACCATCTAGTTGTGCTTCCATAATGGATTTTTATGCACATTTCGTGATTTTGAAAGAGTTTAATGTGCTTCATGGGAGATGTGAACACCGTTTTTCTGAATCATTTCTGACGTAGTCACCGTTTAACCTACATGACTGATCAGCTGTTTGTCATTCTGTCGTCGCCTCGCCTTCAGGCAGCACGAAACACGACCGAAAACGTCTGAGAATAATCACAACAGCTCCTCAAGACTTCTCTCCATCGCTGTCTCGTAGCATAGACTGTATAAAAGATGGACGTAGCTACCATGATGTCACCCGTTGGTTTCTGCACTGAGAAAATGAAGCCAGGGTTTTGCTACTTCCTGGTTGACATCTTGGATTTTTGGAGCCAGTGACGCAAAAATCGTCGGAGGGGGGCGGAGCCATAGGAGCAGCGATTGGTCAGACGGATTGAGAGGCGGGCCCTCTCTGCCCCGCCCACATTTACCGCCTTCTGCTCGCTTCGTCTGTATAGTCGCTGACGATTTTTAAAAATTCAGTATTGATTTATTTTCAGATTGGCCACCTGATCTCTGGATTTGACCATGAAAACTAATAAGAAAAAAATCCTGAGCTGTAGGAATGCAGTATTTCGTGATCTGTGATCACTTCTTTCCAATTCCAGTCTATAGGAGCCAGGGCTTTGTGGAGCCAGCAGCTAGTGGACGTAGTGATATTGCAGGTTTCTGACACTTCCGGGTTGGCTTCATTTTTCAGGGCTGGTTGCTACGTCCATCTTTTATACAGTCTATGTCTCGTAGCTACCCAGGATGTTCTTTGTTTCTTCCTCTTCTCTGAGGGTTTTGGTGGCAGCTGATTTTGTCTCCGCCACCTTCTGACAAAACTCTGCTGCCTTATTAGTTTACGCAGGAATTCATCCTCAACTTTTCAAAAGTTTGCTTCGAAATTTTCTTGACAAACAAGCTGCTCATTCCTATTAATCCAATGCAGTGTTGTTAGGTGATCTGAATACTTGTTCTGCATCAAAACTACAATAATAAGTTGTTCTTTGTAATAAAACAAGTGTGTCTGACGGTGAGCTCTGTGTCTCTGTCTGTGCTGCTGTGCTCAGGTGTGACAACGGTGCTGACCATGACCACAATTAACACCCACCTTAGGGAGACTCTCCCAAAGATTCCGTATGTGAAAGCCATCGACGTCTACCTCATGGGCTGTTTTGTGTTTGTGTTCCTGGCCCTGCTTGAATATGCCTTTGTAAATTACGTGTTCTTTGGCCGGGGCCCTGCGCAACAGAAGAAAATCAATGAGAGGCTGAACAAAGCCAACAACGAGCGCACAAGATACGAAGAGAAGCGCCTGAGGGAACAGGTTTGCATCTTTATCTTTTTTTTTCTTTACTCCACTTCTCTGTGTCAGTCAGAGTTCAAGTACAAAACCAGATCTGTGTGTTGTGCATATGAGATTTCCAGCCACAGTCATTTTACCCAGAGACACACCAACACTAGTCCCCCAAAGTAATCTTCCAAAAGCCTACTGATGCCACCACCACCACCACCACCACAGCCCAACTCACCCACCGTCATCCATTGCTTCTCCCTCAAGCACTGACTGCTTTTTTAATCGAGCGTAGCCCCTTTTTTTCATTGGGATACCTATTCATCGAGCTCAACAGTGGTGTAAACATTCTCATTTCTTATTTAGGTTGTTGTCTATGTTTATGCTGTGGGCTTGATTCACTCTCGCTCCGTCACCTTGTGTTTTAACACGTGTTTTCCCGCTAAATCGAACAATTTCCCAAAATAAGAGACGCTAAAAACGTTCAGAGTGAATGAAGCCCGGCCCTCTGTTCTCTGTGTGTGTTTGTAAAGTACTAAATGCTTATTCAGAAGTTGTTCCTGTTAACTTTATGTCTTTATGCATTGTGTAATCTTTGAGAAAGAAAAAAAAAAGAAAATGTGCTTATTTGCCAGTATTTTATAGCCGTTTTAATGTTCTCTTCATTTTTCTTTCACATTGCAAGGACTCCATTTCCGTGCCGTTTCAAACCAACACCTTCAGGTCATTTACACAGCGAAGAAATCTGTATCTCGAGGAACAAAGAAAAGTTGGGGTACATTTATTTAGCAATCATATCAGCTGTAGGCCAGCCCTCACAGTAAAGTCTGATGATTAAGGCTGTTCAAAGTACTAATAGAAACTTGGTAACTAAATCTGTTGCATGCAAGAGATGACATTCCATATCATCCCTACATTTTTGCTTAAGCCTGACAGCTTTCTGGGATGGGAGGGGGGTTAACATAAGTACTTTAAGGGGATTCTTTTGGGGCTGCTGCTGCTCGGCATTGCAGCCCTCGCTGACTGCCGGTCCGCTCTCCTCGCAGGTGGACGCCTACGGGAACATCCTCCTCACCACACTGGAGATGAACAACGAGGTGATGCCTTCCGACGTGGGGAGCAGCGTCAGTGACTCTCGGAATTCGGTCATGTCCTTCGACAGCTCCGGGGTCCAATTCAGGAAGCCCATGGCGCCCCGCGACGGCTTCAGCCACCACTCGCTGGACCGGAGCGCCATGCGGAGCCGGGCCAACTGCCGGCTACGACGACGCTCCTCCAAGCTCAAGTTGAAAATCCCAAACCTGTCAGATGTTAGCACCATTGACAAGTGGTCCCGGGTCATTTTCCCCATCACCTTTGGATTTTTCAACCTAATCTACTGGTTGTACTATGTGAATTGATGTGCATCCCACTAGGAATCATGGGCCATATTTTGAGAGCACATTAAATTGGCTTTGATACAGTTCCAAAAAAATATGTATACACATATACAAGTTGAACATATGTATATGCATATTTCTATATATTATATTTATATATACACACCGTGTGAAACCTGAAGGACCTTTCTGCTGTACAAAGTATTAATAGGATGACTTGAATGTTTAAGAATAATTGTGAGAGAAGAATTTCAAGGCTTTGAGTTTCTTTTTCCTCCTGAAACAAACAAACAAACAAACAAACAAACAAGAGATCCCACCACGGGGTTTTTGGAACTAAAGACTGCATGATATTTTTGCTATAAAAAAAAAAAACAAAAACAAGAAAAGAAAAAAAAAAAAACAAGAAAAAAGAGGAAGTGAAAGCTCTTGAGAGAGAAAAGATGTCTCAGAGTCCCATCGACTTTTTATTGATACTTATTGTGATCAGAAATCCTCTTCTGCAGCTCATGAAGTCAGTGGTGGCTTGTCTGTTCAGGCATCAGCTGAGTGAGATCCTTGACACCCCGAAACCCTCCTCACCTGCCTCCCCTCCCCTCCTCACCCCTCCTCACCCCTCCTCACCCTCGCCATCACCCACGGATAACATGCACGGAAATCTCCGGTTCTACTATGTACAGCAACCTTGTTTGGAATATGTGTTGTTCCTTGGGTTTTTTGAAGTGATATCGTTCTCTTTATCAGACATCAGCGCCGGCCTCCATTCGAGCAGGCCGCGTGGATGGGATGTTTGACCGCTGCATTCCCGCCCAGAGTCAAACTTGTATTCCTTTTCTCTTCTCATGTTGTTTTTAGAAATGGGGGATTGGGATGGCGGGACGGGTCGGGGGGGCTCTTTTTCATTATGGTTAAAAACAAATACTGATTATTGTAGATATGATTTTGTCTTGAAAAATACTGTGATTTCAGAGAGTGTCAGAACATGTTCTAGAGCTAGGGCATTACGAGATAAAAGAGTCAAAGGTATGCATTACTCATTCTGATTGTTTGAGAAGAAAAGAAAAGAAAAGAAGAAAAAACATATTCTGTACATTTTATCATTCAGTATTCTCATGAAAGTATACTCGTGCTGTTTCTTTCCTCCTGATGATCGATTCACGCGCTCTTTAGAGTTCATTGACGTCATATCCTGCTTTGTGTTTGCTAAAAAGGAAAATGTGTGGGACGGGATGGGATGGGATGGGATGGGATTTGGGGAGGGGGTGGGATTGCTTTTGTGATTCGTTTGAGATTTATTCCACAGTGAAGATGTTAGAACATGTATATTCAAAAGAGTCAACATATCCGCCCACAGTTTGACCAGTTGTCACTCGGTATTCGGTATTTCTTTGTTCGCATTTCTTTCTGTGTTGAGAGTTTTTTGCTGATTTGATCGGGATGGTGACGGGGGGGGGCGGCCGAAGGTGTGGGGAGAAACGATTCAACATTTCACACTCAAACTCAGTCAGTGCCGTTAAACAAAAAAAAAACACTCCCGAGGATCAGAAGCCTGATCGGGGGTTGATACGCGAGAAATGATTAAATAGCCATGAATTGAATGAAACCACGACCAAAAGGCCTATAATCCATATGCATCGTCGTCGCTTCGCTCCTAAACACATGCAAACACTGCATTCTCAACACTCAGGTTCATTTGCAAAGAAGAAAATGTACTGTAGGACCTTGATCTTTTATTTTATTTATATACGTGTTTAAAAAAATAATTAAAAATCCGACCAGATAATCATGTTTATAGACAGTAGATTCCAAATTTGAATTAGGTTTGGACGAAGTGAAGATGACTGAGGCTCAGCGGACGTCGGACATCGTAGCACAGGAAAGAAAATCCATGTTTCGGCTTCATCTGAAGTGCAGTTTAGCGTTTTCACCTCCACAAACAGTTATATGTATAAATGATGTGCAAAGAGGTAAAAGATATAAACACGTGTGGATAAAGAAGAAGAAGAAGAAGAAGCATCCATTCATCATCAGAAGCTCCTCTCCTCTCTGTAGTAACGCATAAGACGCGTCCAAAAACTGATCAGAAACCAATTTGTCTCCTTAAGTCTTCGTGAAGTTCGTACGGTGTCGTGGCCCGAGCTGTGATCGAGTTTAGTATTTCTTTTTTGTTTAAATTTTATGCATCATTGTCTGGAGAAAGAAAAAAGAAGAAGAAGAAAATATCCAGTAAAGATGTGCAGGCAGAGTTAAAGAGCAGCAGGAAGACAGCGAGTTCTACGTCTGACGGATCCGTCGTCTCAGTCATCTGTGAGTCCAAACGTGTGGCCGAGAACATTGTGAAAGTTCTTGACGAGGCGGGTTCTGTTGTGAGCATTCAGTATTGTACTGTAGTAAGCAGAGAGCGGCCAATCCAGAGTTCTTCTAAAGTTGCCGAATGGAAATGAGATCTGATTGAAATGCAAACTTGAAAATGCAATCTAAAAACAAAAAAAAAAAAGAAAAATACCAGTTTTCTTATTTTTTTGTCCACTGTCAGGCTCTGGATGGACGGTTCAGAGCAGAGAGAAGCTGTTTTAACTCCTCTCATCCTGCCTTGTTCAATCTGGCCACCTGCAGCACATGAACCGTCGGTGAATCTCCGCCTCGCACCGACGCCACTCACGGCTTTACTCCACATGTGCAGCAGCATCAGCTCCCCAAACACCTGTGAACTGACTTTGATGTGTTAAACTGTTGGAGTTCCCCTTTAACTCATCACCTACATCCCTGTGACGCGTATGCTGCAACTTACAAACGAGCTCTAACGTGACAAAGATTCTCTTTTTTGACCGTCGATTCTTTTTTTTCAGACGAGAATCGGATTAGATTTTATTCCATTATTGGTATAATATATATATTCAGCCCCTGAGTTTGGGGTGTTTATGTTACAGGCAGGATTTCTGGCTTAACGAATGCAGGTTCATACAAACACGTTTGTTTTTTTCATCCCGATCTGCACACCAACAGCTCGTCAAACTGTCCACTGAGCGTCCAGTCAGACTGTGAGGTGTTTGTTCCAGTGCAACATAAGCACATGTTTGTTTGTTTAAAAAAAAATAATGAAACAAAAAAAAATATGGGCGACCATAACTGTTTAAGTAAATCAATGGAACATGTTTGACTAAAAAGCGTGATCTCAATGAGATGCTCTTACCGTACGTTTTGTAATGTAGCCGAACACGTGTATCAAGTTCTGGTTCAGGTTTCCAGACGCGAATACAAAACATGCCTATTCAGGTATTTTTATTTTATTTTTTTTCTTTTGAACACAGTCGATGCATATCTTTAACGAACTCCCGTGCGGAGGAGAACCATTGGCAGCCCTTGCATGCTCGCGGTAGATCTACCCGCCGCTCATCTCAGTCGCCACATGTGAGACCTGCTTTCTGAACATGAAATCAGCACATTCATCCCAAAAAAGCTGTGAGGATCTTCTGTTCGATGCTTTTTTTCCTTTTAGGATATTTGCTTCTACGAGAGCGAGAGAGAGAGAGAGAGAGTAAAATAGGTTTCTTTTTGACACAAGGAGTAGAGGAGGAGGAAAAAAAAGTGTTGAACTGATTTCAATGTGAATTTTCTTGCCTCTAGTGTATATGTGTAATTACATGTGAATTGTACTGTAAATATGATATCTTTCACTTAATAGTTCTTAATGCATGAACAAAAACATGGCAGTTCGTAATACCAGCTAGCCTCACTGCTAATGGCATGGACAGCTTCTCTAGCATTGGCATACTTCTGCAAACGAAACCTAAAAAAAAAAACAAAAAAAAACGACACACAAGAAATACACGGTGCCGACAAAATAATGGTAGAGATCGACGCAAGAGTCCCTCCAACAGCGACGGACGGAGATCCTGGTGGTTTTATCTGTTCCCTCCTAACGCCGCCTCGGTGCACTGTGAGCGAATGGGAATCCGTAGCTGAGCTTTCCCATTTCCCCCGATCGGACCTCAGCGGGAGATTTCAGCACTGCACACCTGCTGCATTTACCTCAACCAGTCACTCACGAGTCTACTCAGAAAGCTACGGGCACGCTCGGCTAGCTGGCTTATAGAGGCTAGAGGAGCAGGGTTGCCTTAAGAAGGCGAGTGGGATGTTCTTTCCTGTTCCTCAATAAGACAGTCACGTGTGCCCTTGAGCAAGGCACTTAGCCAGATGCCCCCAGTGCAGCTGCTCGGTTGCAGAAATCTGTGCAGGAAGGTAGCATACATGTATTCTTTAGCTATGTGAGAGCAAAATTTGGAGAAAACGCGTCCACAAACGTCCTTTAGTTCTGTAGAAGCAACTAAACCGAACGCTGTCGTGTGGTTCTGTTCGCCACACCGGGTTCTGGGATGTTTGTGGAGCGCGCCGGGTTAGATGCCATTTCACATTTTGCCATAATTCCCAGTTGGGATCTAATATGAAAAAAAAATTACGAGTCATTCTCTGCTGACTCCACTTTGGGAAGACGTGCGAGTGAACCTCCTCCACCAGAACACCAGAACCGGGCCGACACACTCCTCGCTGTTGGAGGAACTCCGCTTGGCGCGTTCATTATCTTGTGTGCACCTTGTAGGTTTTGTTTTGCATGACCTGAGTTTTGAAAGGTTTATTTTCATATATTTTTACTCCACGCCATCCGACTCATCGCCACAGCCAGGAAAAAGAAAGATCCAGTGTTTACATGCTCAAATTGCACTTGTTTTACAGCCAGCTCTATAAATCTTGTGAAACAAACTGTTCGTAAAACTGGAGGACAAACGTAACCGTCGAGCGTACGCACGCCGCGTGATCCGCGCGAGTCACGAACGCGTACGTCTATAAAAAAAAAAAAAATGTATTTACTGTATGTCACGCAATTTGGAATAGATGCACCGAGTGCATGCTGTAGTTTTATCAGGTTCAGCATAAGCATCAACATCAGACGCCCTTCAACTACAAAGGATGTAAAGGATGCTCGCCGGTAGCATCTGAACGTAAGCCATGTGATTGCACAC